ATATATATATATATATATATATATATATATATATATTGTATTAAAGCACGTTGTTTGAAAGACGATTTAATGTTGGTTTTGATTATCAGCATTCTTCAAAGTATCTTCTTTTGAGTTCTGCAGAAAAACAAAAGTCAGGGGTTTGAAAAACAAAACAAAAATTAGGGGGAACTTATATAATAATGTAAATTATGACAGAATTGTGGGTTAACTATACTTTTGAGTAAATTAGTATAAACACTTTTCACTAGTCATCACTGTGCAGAAAAATAACAGTGAATGGCACAATAAAATGCTTTACAAATACACATTCAGTAGATCCATAGCTTCCTGTTGGTCAGTTTGTCTCCTCAGTTAAGATTCCCCCCAATTGTTGCAGAAAACATTATATTACATAGTGTAATCATGGTCAATGCAGACATGTACTTGAACTTACTTTCTCATGGACTCTAACTGCTCCTTGCTAGTCCAGTAAGAGAAGTATAATAAAGATGAAGTCCACTGTCTGATTCTAAACACTGCTCGGTGTTCACAGCTGTCTGAGGAACTTCTGCCATTTCTTCTGCGATGACACTTCTCTCGGTTACTACAAAACAGAGTTAAAAGACATTTGTAGCTTATTTAAGAGAAATATTCAGTTATTCCTGCATGTCTCTACATGCTAAGTGAAGAAGCAACTAAAGTAGCAGCACAACCGTGACTCTGTGTTTTGTTGTAGTCAGTTACATGTGTTTTGGCAGTGGTGAGCACCTGTACATATAAGTCTGCTTACACAGCACATGTAAAAGCAGGACACAGCTACTGCAAATTATCTCAGACATACTGATGCATATAAATTTGACTGCAGTACATTGTCATCATAAAAATCACTGCAACTAGCTTATATATTTAGTTAACTGAGATTATTTGAAAAGAACGTTCTTCTAAAGAATTATAATACTAATAGTACAAACAAATCCTCTTCACTCTAACATCCTTGAAGTAATTACATTCAGTTACATTCATAAAAATAAGAATGTGGAAACTAAAACTACTTTCTCCTTGTATGCGCTGCTGGACCGTCATCATCCTCCTCTTCTTCATCTGTTTGTTTGCGGGTCTGAGTGTTCGTCAAAGTTTAGTGCAGCGTAAACATTCTAGACTCACATGTAACTGTACTTAGATCAAAGATCAAAACATCTCGTTGATTTATTAGCTTTAAGGTGGAGCATAACAAAAGTTTTATTTAATTTAACATTTTGCAAGTTTCATTATGAACTTGCTAACTAAAATATTAAAATGTAAAAATGCATCTATGCTTACGAGAAATATTTAATCAATAGAATCCCATACATCCACGTCTCTTGGTAAATAATCCATTGTGATTTGCTGTTATCAGAGCCCAGAACACAGCACAGCAGTTCGGTCCTACAAATGGCGGCCGCACCACTGTGTGACGTCACATGAAACCTGTGAATTATCTCATCACACTGGATTGAATAAAGCAAGGACAGAGTTTACCACGAATGGCTTTATGTGAAGCATAACGAAAAAATTTGAGCAAATCAGTAGTCTCGCACGCGAATTTAACATTTTGCAAGTTTCATTATGTAGCGAATCAGCTCAAAGGGAAAATATGAATAATTAATCATAACTAGTTATAATTAATTATAAATATTTAGATCCGCTGTAAGTATTTACTTGACCTCTCAG